TTCCGCAGCGCTTTCGCAGGATTTTCGCAGCACTTCGCGCTTTTAATTCGCGATCCGTTCCTTCCATATCAAACTTCCTTTTTGATGCTAGATTTTCCTTTCCATTACTAGGTTTTCGCACCAAGGCATTATTCCTTTGATGTGGAAATTCCTCTAGACTTTCTAGATGCTAAGAGACGTAGACAGCGAGATAGTTTTAACGAGAAAGCAAATAGCATAGTGTATTGTTTCATGCAGGTACCATATAGAATCACAATAGGCCGAAGTTGATAAGTGCAAATTAGCAGATCAATGAAGTGTTCATAAGTAAATATATATAAAATCACAGAAGCATTCGAATATATATGCATAACCGAATAAGTTTGGAAAAGCTGCAGATATTAAGAATTAAAAAACAATGTTATACAGATGGAAAAGTGAAGAATAATGGAAGAATAAGATAAAAACAAGAATAACAATATCATTCACAAAGGATATGCGCTTCAAAAGGAAGATGGTCCTATGGGGCAATAAACCGTTTCCACTTATTGGGTGTTATTTTGACCTTGTCCACGCGACGACTGAAGCCGGCTTCGGAATCCCTTCCTTTCTGTAATGAGAATTAATTGAAATTTTTTGATGTAGATCGTGCCTTGCCGCAGTGTTCCATTTTGCAACTTCTCGCCAAGAAATACGGAGCAAATTAGAACGATTCGCTCAAAATTTTGGGAAATTTCGAAATCTCAACAAGAAAAGCTCTGAGACAGATTTGAAAATCCAAGAGTTTTCTGCAAAAATCAAGGCTTCGCTTCGACTTGAATTTTTTGGAATTTGCAAATTTGGAGCGGCAGAACTTTTGCAATCTAATATTCCACCATTTTCCAGACAAAACAGGTATATGGCAGACTCTAAGGCAGGTATGTGTAAGGGAAAGTTATTATAAATTATTGTTGAATTTTCATAAATTAATGCTCAGAAAATGATACTAATGAACCAAAAGCTCGTCCCCATCCTTTTTGAAAATTCGAAACTTTCTTCCTTCACATATGATCTGCACATGTTTATTTTGAAAGAAGACATGGTTTCTAATAATATCTGAGGTACCTTTTGATAGCTTCAGAGATCGAAGTCGGTGAAGAAAATTACTCCATTTTACTATTCACCATGTTTGGTCGCAAAAATCTGCTTGCATAAAATCGGAGCAACTGGTGTCATAGCTATTATTACCTACTCTTTTTAAGTGTACAAAGATTGCGCTGATTCAACGTCTCTTGAAAAGTTATGATTTTTAAGGAAGCCGTAAAAAAGAGTAAACATGATTTTCTTGGCATTTGCTTCGAAAATCATAACTTTTTTTGAAGAGATTCAATCAGCGCAAACTTGGCACAGTCAGAAAGAGCAGGCTATAAAACCTATAATGCTCCGAATTCCGTTGCGAGTTTCAATTTAACGATTGAACGCAGAAATTTTGAGAAGGGAGTAATTTTCTTCTCCTGCTTCTATCTCTGGAGCTTGCTTCCATTAAAAGGTACTTCAGGAGGTACAATTGGAAACATGAATTCGAAAATAAACATGTGCAGATCCGTTGAAGATGTAGAAAGTATTTGGGAGAGAGAAAAGCTAAAACAGCAAAAACAGAGGAGCAGAGAAGGATAGATACATCAAAGCAGTGGCGGTGCAAGAAACTTTTTCAAGAGATGGCGGGGGGAAACAAAAAATTATTTGGGTTTGTGGGCCTGAGATACCGAACAAAGGGTAATTTAGGAATGGTTGAATTTTCGTGGTTCCAGTTTTGTACGCCCTCGACTTTTTTTAGCAAAAAGGGGCGTGGAGTGAGCCACACTTCGATTGCCTAGACAAACTTTAGAGTTTAGAAGAGCTTTGATCTTTCATTATCTACAGTCGCAGACTACTATGAATATTCTTGACACCCATTATGCCCCACCCCTTTCTTCTGATATATTTCTACCACATTATTTCTATTTTATTCAATCATTCAACACTATTATTCAAAAATTTCAATTTCGACTCGAGCTATTATTTCAAATCGTAGGTTTTGAACTTTTTATCTTTGAATCAAAAATTATTATTTTGTGATGTGTGCGATATTGTGAGAGGGAGAAGATTTAAAATTGAAAGCAGAGAGTAGAAAAGGATAGACACACGAAAAGCAGTGGCGGCGCGAGAAATTTATTTATGGTAGGGGAGGGAGGGATTGAAACTTTTGGATTCGTGGGAGTGTGGCCACTTCCAGCAAAAAAAATTTAGGAATGGTTGGATTTTTGCGGCTACAATTTTTGTACCACCTCGATTCTTCTTTAGCACAGCTCCTTCGAAAATTGTCCACAACTATTAGGTGGAATCAAAAGTGCGTTCGCCAAATTTTCAAAAAATCATAATTTCTTTTCGACTGAGTGGATCTTTTGAGTTTATATTCATCTAAGAGAGGAAATCATTCTCTTTACAACGGTATCTCTGCCAAATTGGCTCAAGAATGTTCGCGAGTAAGCAATTGAAGATTACTTAAAACTGGCATTTTTCAAGCAAGGTCACCAAAAATTCTGAAATTTTTCGATAGAAAATTTTTTTCCGAAATCGAAATCCGAAAACTCGGTAATCGAAAATCAAAATTGCTCTCGATTGGCACGAATTTCTCACAACTAAAAAGAGAAGGTCACTAAACCCATGTTCACATGACTTTCCCATCCCTCCCGACGCAAAACTGAGGCAATTCTCTTTTTTGCTTCTAATTCTCGATCTTTTTTGTTTTTGAAAAATGCACTTTAGTAAAAAGCATAGCTTTCTCTACCGAAAACTACTTTCAGAATTTTTTGGTGATCCTGCTTGAAAAATGCCAATTTTGTGTATTTTTCTTTAATTGCTTCTAACTCGCGAACTTTCTTAAGCCAAATCATTTCAGAAATACCGTTGTAAAGAGAATGATTTTCTCTCTTAGATGAATATAAACGCAAAGAGATCCATCGAGTCGAAAAGAATTTACGATTTTCTGAAAAACTGGCGAACGTACTTTTGGTCTCACCTAATACTTTCAATCTGAAAATTTTTGAAAATATTTCAATATTCACCAAGAGCTTATAGATCATTTTGAAAATTTCGGTGACCCATTATTCTCCCCCTCCTCCTTCGTTTTGATATATTTCCACCCAATCACTTCTGCTTTATTTAGATCCACAGTGCATATTTTCTACAAAGTGATAGTTTTAAATTACTTGCGTTATTATTTCAATCGCACATAAAGCAAAAAAGTTCGACATACCTGAACAAGGGCGTTGTTAGACGAAGTCCCTCCGTTGAGTCCTTTTCCAGCACTCCAGCAGCTTGGTGATGGTTGTGCACACACCTGCACCGATGCCTGAAAGAATATTCAGAATATGGATGAGTACAGGTTTATTGACGCCAACATTGAAGGAAAGAAAAAATAGAGAAAGAAAAAAGGAGGAACAGAAGTGAAACAGTATGGAAGAAAAGAGTGTGCTATACGCTGTGCGTTTGCTATTTCGCAATCGCAAGTGCATGCGCTCTCAAAGTCCTGCGGAAATGTTAGCGGATCAAAGTGCTGCGGAGACCTTGCGAGCCTCACTGCACTTTCGCAGCGCTTTATGGAAAGTGCTGCGGAAGTTCCGGTTTACGATCGCTGTGACGTCAATTTCCTGCGGAAACCTCGCATTCTGGAGCGTGCACTTTCTCAATGGTTAAGAAAGTGCTGCGGAAACGCTGCAAGTTCTGCTTGTCCTGCGGAAGTTCCGGTGAATTGTCTGAGTCCTTTCCCAAAACTTCACGACAAATTTTTGGTGATTTTTTGAACGAATCGGCACAAACACGTCAAGAAACTTCCAAGTGCATTGTAATTGAACATTGATTTTCCAATGCAAATGAGCGTTCGCGGACTCGAAGTACCATACTCGCTTTGCGGGTGCACCTGTAACACGCTAGGACTATGCTTTTTTCTCGAAAACTTTACAATTTGGGAACAAAAAGCGCTTGTCATAGAGATCTGAAGTAACTGCATCGAATGACACCCGAGTTGCTCTCCGGTTGTTGTTCTAAAACAGATGAATGTGATAGCTTAAAAAAATAATTTTGAAAATTTTCAAGAACAAGCTATGAAAGAGAAAAACTGCACTGTATCCTATAGGGTTTGCACTTTCGATTTGTCACTTGGAAGTCTTCCTAGAGTTGTATAAGAAGTTTTAAGAAAGTTTTGCTATCTAGAAAAATAGCGAAACTTAACCTTAGCAAAAAGCATGGGTTTTTGGTGATTTTCTTTCATTGCACTGTTGTATAAGCATAACCACATGATAGAGAATAAAAAAATGCATCGGAAAGTAGCGAGATCATTGGTCAGATTTTTGTTTTGCAAATTGTTGCAACCGTTCAAAAAGCGAAAATGCTTTCAAGACGACCTCATATATTGTTGCGCAGCTCCTTGAACTGATTTGCATACATTTTTGCAATTAATTACCAAAATTATGGATATAGATCAAGTGACCTACTTTGCAAAACAGAATTTCTGAAAAGATCAGATTTTACTAAAATTTTTCAGAAATTCTCAGACGTAGCATTTGTAAAACTGAAAGTATATTATGCTTGACTTTTTGACCATGTACAGATTTTGCAAAATGTTCATAATTTATCTTTAAAAAAAAATGGAAAAAATGTGTCTCAAGATGAATCTACACAATTTTTTGCGTTTGGCTACAGTCACCAAATGTTCTTCTTGCCAGAAACAGCAGTTTCTTGAGGCTTGCCTCACCTTTTAACATTTAGAGAAGCGCATTTTTGAAGAAATTGGTTGGCCTGGCATATAACCTTAGAACGTGCCCCTCATGCTTTCCCTGAAATTTTTTTCAGTATCGGAATTTTACGCTCAATAAGTCCTGCCGCTTTTCTTATTCAAGTTGCCTTTCATGAATTAGCATTAGTACAAGGGCAAGTTTCGTTTCCTTCCAGTTCATTTCTTCATCATTCCTTCGTTCAACGAATATTCGCCTACATCTGCAATGGGATGTCGCCCATCGACACCGAAATCCGCTGCGGCAGCATCACCTGAACCAAGCATTGAAGAGCTAGACGATGATGAGACATCGAAAAGTCGGATGTATCGCCCTTCGACAGACGATCCGCAGCCTCCAGACCCTCAGGATGATTTGAGTTCTGAAGCGCCGAGGTAACTTGAAGACTCACTAACCAATTGTGATTACTGTAGTTAGTTCCCGATAAGTCATGTGACTATAGCTGAGTGATAGAAAAAAGTTAGTGCTGGCCAGAACTATAGATCCGCGTGGAAAAATGCAGTAACTCACTTGGTTTTAGCAAATCGATCTAATTTTCTACAGCTGTGTGTTCAACAATCTACTTTCATTAACCAGAACGCTCCCTTCGCGTTTGATTATTCAAGAAAATGTCAAATACTTAGAAAAAAGCAGGCCTACACGCTGGTCAAAGCTTAGATCCACCCAAAATTCCCATTCAACAAAGTAATTCTTGGCTTTCAAAGTCTTTTGTGCATCTACATAGTCAAAAGTTAAAACAATCACTTCAGTCAAGCAGTGCCATACTGTTGTAAGAAGCGTATCTGCATATTTTTAATTGAAAATACGTCCACATTATTTCCTAACAGTGTGTAATATAAATTTTCAGCTGATTTGGAAGAGATAGGGTTCCATTTATCTTGTGGTAGACACTAGAAAAAAGTTCAGTTTTTGTATTCAAAGAGCACCCAACATAAACCAATGCGCTCGAATTTTTGCCTTCAAACTCTTTCTGCAAAGCTCTCATGGGCATGAAGTGGAAACGCATTGTTTGTAAAAAGAAAAGTGCGGTAATGGAAGCAGATTTCGACAGACCCTGTCATGCGCGCATAATTAACCCATTGACGACGACGCCTAATTTTGCGCGGCGGCGCTGTGAGACGACGCGATTTTGCACAACACTTTAGTGTGGGAAGGTTTCGTGCTTATTTACGAAATGCAACATTGTTTTGTAAACAACTATCAACATTTTCTTAAACGACAGAGCCTATAGGTCCTAAAATGGAAAAAATTATCATATGTGGAAAAAATATTAGACCTGCAAATAGTACGACTTTGCGAGAGGTGTGGGCCACCGGGGGTCCACATCGTCCCTGGCAGCAAAAAGCGCGTAGGCCACCGGTGGTCCACATCGCGTCAATGGGTTAAAAGCTGATTGCAACATGCCTTGTAGTTTTGAATAATTCTAACCAGAATCTTCATGTAAACATGGCAACATGCTATACAAGTTGTTTTCATTACTTGACACGTTGATGACGAGCCATTTTTTGGAGGTCTGTCCCTGTGAACGAGACCTTTCCGCGCATTCCTACACCTGGCCCCATGTATGTATGCATGCAGCCATGCATGAAATACAAAATGTGCAAGCCCCGCCCCCATGTGACAAGCTCCGCCCACTCGGTCAAAAATGTCGGAAATTGCCCAAATTTTGAGAATTCGTGCAAATTCCGCCACTTTTGAATAGTGGGCGGAGCTGGCCACTTGGGGCGGGGTTGCCTGGACGGGGGGCGGGGCCTGGCTAAAAATTGCTTGATGTCTTTGCGTTCGTCTACGTCCTCATCCATGCTTTTTATGAACAAAAAGGGTCAATATGAGAGGCGTAGGAGTGGGCGGAGTTTGCCAAAAGGGGCGGGGCTGTTGATTATAAGAACAAAAACTGAGAGCATTGGAGAGATATGAAATTAAGGCCGCCGCGCACCATTGCGCGGTGTCGTCCACAGGGACAGACTGCCTGCCGCGCACCATTGCGCGGCACTGTCGTCAACGTGTTAATAGTTGAATAGTGACAAAAAATCAAGGAAGGTAACGCTTGGTAAGCTAGTCTGAGAATGCATAACACTATCAATCGACTGCGAGACATATGTTTTGGAAGCAAAAAATACAGCACACTTCTACACTTTATTTACGGTTGTTGTCTTATTCGCTGCTGTGATTCTTGGCTTTCGTAGTGTTTTGGCATTTACAAGTGTTTGAGTTTAATTTTCCAACTTATTAACTTTGGTCATTCGACAGTTTTTAGGCAAAGTTTGCCTATGGGTTCTTCGTGTAGTTACCTATACCCCTCCTCCCCCCCCCCCCCAAAAAAAATATAGCGTTTGCATTGTGCATCCTCAAATAATTGTTCATGAAGTGAACATACTACGATTCTGAGGGTAAGCCGGTGGAAATGTACTCAGTGTTCAAACATGTATAGCTCTTATGTCTTCCGAGCTTTTACGAACATTAAGGTGCAAATAGTACAGTTTTTCTCTATATAGCGGTGCAAAGCTAATCACCACTCTCACTTCATTACTGTGGGCTTTAGATAGAAATTTTCAAAGCATGTCGTACCACTGAGAAATAAAAGTATTCGGGAACAAAAACACAAGAAGCTGAATTTTCTAACACCGAGTCAGTCTGAGTTACTAACCCTAGCTGTAGGATTATATTTCGGGTAATCTGGATAACATTTCGGTTATTTCTCACCAAAATACTATCCTGATTCACCCCGGGTACACTACAGTTGCTGTTTTCTTGTTCTCAAGGACTTGATTTCTACATCTTTTGACATTTTTGCTGAAATTCGCAGAAATACCTATTAAATTTGGCGTGTTTTCAATCGCCACATCAGAAACGCTTAGCTTTTCTTTGGGATCAGTTATGGAAAGCAAGGCTTGTTCTCTTCTCCACCAAAATTTGGACAGTCTGGAACCCGTACTACAAAAGTTCCGCAAAAGTCTGAGATTCTGTGTGAAGGCTAAAGGAGAGTTATTCGAAGTCTGAGTGTACGCTGTTGTTTTGTAGGTTTTTCACAATCTACTTGCTGAATTACATATGTTCATGTTGCTGTGCACAATTTCAGCTAAAGATTTACTACGCTTGAAGATATATGCGACACCCTGTACATAGTCAAAACCAAAACAATCGCTAGTCTAGCAGTGTTATAATAAGGAACGCTTATCTGATTTTTCCACAATTGAAAATACTATGACATGTACTGAAAGTGTGTTTGTATAGGTAATTCCGCAGTTTTGCAGTAGGTTGGTATCGATAGTATCCATTCATTTGATGCTCAGCGAAGTGAACATAAAGAGAAAGTTGGGATTTTGTAGTTGAAGGACACCTGACATAGACTAACCGCAGGCCTGCGCTCAAATCTCTGCCTTTAAAACTAACTACTTTATTTTTGTAAGTCTAAAATAAAGTGGAAGCATTATCTATACAGAAATTTGCACACTATACTCAAGGTTGTTCGAAATTTGCATTTGCGACTTCTCAAACAACCGTAAGTATAGTGTACAAATGTACTTGCTTTGTTTCCAAAACACAAGTCTGCAATTGATTGATAATGTTATGCAATCTTAGAATAGCTTGACAATTGTTAACTTCCTTGATTTTTTGTCACTATTTAGCTATTAAGTAATGCAAACAGCTCGTATTGCATGTTGCCAAGTGATTTAAATGAAGATTTTGCTCAAAATTATTTGAAGGCAGGGGTGGGAAAACGGGAATGGGGAATTTCCACAATTACATGGCCTTCTGGACCAGCTAAATCAGGTACTGTGCTTGAAAAGTCAAAAAAATGCTTGTTGGCGTTTTCCGACCTTCGAGTTGCTGGAAAGGCGGGATTTCCGTCAACTGTACCGTATTGATTGCCTGGGCCGATCAGCCAATTGCCGCCAAAACAGGTGAAATTACAGTATCCTGCAGTCACTGCTGGTTATTGCGGGAATCCCTCGCCCTGCCTTTCTAGCAATCTGCAAGGCTGGTAAACTCCAAAAAAAACAACACTTTTTTGACATCTCCAGAGTACAGGCTTAGCTGGTTCAGAAGGCCACATAGTTGTGAAAAGCCCCAGTCACAATTTCCCAGGCCACTGCATTCAAAGTAACTTCGAGGCATGTTGCAATCAGTTTTTTACAGGATAACAGCAATTATGCCTGCATACGGTTTGTAGAAACCTGCAGCCATTACATATATTCTCTTCTCACAAGCAATGCCATTACTCCACTTCATGCACATGAGAGCATTGCAGAAAGCTTTGAAGGCAGAAATTTGAGCGCACGCTTGCATTTAGTTTATCTCGAGTGCTTTTTAAAAACAAAATCTAAACTTTATTTTTCTAATGTCTAACGCAAGATAAGCGAAACCCTATCGCTTACAGATCAGCTCAGAAACTCACGAAAGAATTTGAAAGCCAAGAATTGCTTTGGTGAATAAGAATCCTGGGTGAATCCATAGTTTTGGCCAACTTACAAGCCTGCTTTTTCCGAAATTTTTGATTTTTTCCTGAACAAACAAAGAACAAGAACCGTTTCTAGTTATTGACAGTAGGATATAAGACACAACTGGAGAAAATCAGGTCATTTCGCTAAGAATCAAGAGAGTTACGGCACTTTTTGCGGGGACTTATACTGGCCAGCATTGTAAACGCTACTGCATGCGAAGCAGTATTAGTTGAGCGGGCGCGAACGCGGCGCGCGCGTATCTTCACCGTTGTGAATCCTGCTTCTTATACCCTCTGCGGCTAATAGAGCCGCGTTCGCGTCTAAAGATATTGCGCTTTCGTCATGCAGCAATATTTTCTACCTAAAAAGTTTGTTCGGACTGCTTTAGATCTATTTATTGGGAATAACAATTTTTTTGATCTTTTTTGTGAGTCTAAATATTGTGTAATAATTTGACTCCACATGTAATCAAACCTGAAGTTCCAAAATTTTCGAAGATAGGTTTCTAATAGGTTTCTAACAATAAGCAAAACACTAAGAATAAGAGGGAACTAACTACGACAGACTCGGAGGGGGGGGGGCGGACTAAGAATATCCCTATATAGGAACTCTACCGTAGAAATATTTTTATTTAGCGAAGAATCCGCGGGTCCAGATCCTCAAGAGAAGGAGCATCTCTGTCAAACAGAGGTCACGCTACAATGGCTGGTACAGGTCATAGGTGATAGATTTGACAAGACATTCGAAGAAGAACCGCGATGGATCGTAGAACGATTGAATCGACCAAAAATGGATGGTAGGTAGACCAGGAAGTGTAAACAGAGAGAATTTCAATTTTAAGCTCTAAAAGGTTAAGTGACGAATCGAAACTCTTAACGCTGAAGTAGCTTTTTGAATTAACGAGGCAGACTTTTTGACCACTTTTCCCTCAAGAACAAATGTGTACATGATTAATTGCTAAATTAGATCTAATTACTCGCCTCTGTTTCAGAACTCGCAAATACAACGATAATGAGGGTAACATTCGGTTGGGAGGATCGTGCTCTACCGAAGAATGTCATTGTTAAGACGATACCCTCCAAGGACCTTCGCGATGACGAGGAATCAAAATTCGCTTTAACGAAATTCAAAAGGTGCTCACTTTTGAGAACAATCCTTGTAGGATTGCCTTTCCCGTATAGTCGCTTTAAAATAGTCGTAAGTTCAGCCAGCAAAAAGACTGGTAAAGTGACTTTAAGCAAAAAAGGGTTTGTTATTATGACATGAAAACAAAATGTCTTCTCAAATAGAGGTTGTAAAAGCATGTGCCCATCTGAACGTCAGTATATTTATTTTAAAGAAGTCGTTTGGATACCATTGGGACAAAATCTGTAGAGATGGCTTGAACTTAAGTTTACAGTAGAGAGCGAACTACCGGTCGCTCTTCATTACTGTAGGGTTACGTGGGAAGTTTCGGCGTGTGACGTCGCTGCGGAAACGATGCCTTTTGTTTGTTTTCCAAATTTTTCTAAAATTTTCAATTCGACGATTTCATCGTCGCGATTGATCGCGACAAGACAACTGTAACACTATTTATTTATTGCATAGGGAAGACCCTATGGTAACACAGAACAACAAAATCAAATCAACTTAACACAATAGAACGACCTTTTTGGATCACAACAAACAGAGAAGTGAAGGTATTAGTAGGAAGACCGGAGGTAGCTTCTTAGAATCTTTTTGAACAGTTATAGCTTAGGTACGAACATCTTCCTTTGCAAAATTATATCCACATCATGGGCCACTCGTCACGTAGAGAAATATTTCTTGCATTTAACCTTGCCCTTGGCGGTATGACCTTCCTAGCTCCTCCTCCTCTAGTAATGGTGCAACTAGTGGCAAGGAAATTTCTTGCGTCAAGTTTACATCCTCCAAATAGTATTTTATGCACCATGATCAAATCGAATTTTCTCCTCCTGTAAGCAAGACTAAGAATGCCTAAGTTTGGATTGCGAACCCGACTGTTTGATAACTGATCGTATCTAAATCCGACCGTCCTGATCAACAATTTTCTAGTAAAGCTACTTTTCTGAATCATCGATTGTTTCTCGCGTGTACGGACTATACATTACGGTACCGTTTTCCAAGACAGGTCTTATGTAGGTATTATATGACCTTAATAAGGCTTCAGTATCGTTGCATATGAAGCATTTTAGTCTTTCCCCCTGAAATAGGCAGATCCCATCCCTTTGACAATACAAAAACCTCATCCAAGGTGTCTCGTGACTGATTACGACTAACTTCATCCTTGACTGTTCTGTACAATCTAAAAATTAGCAAATGCGCAACAAAAACACCTTTGGACAGCGATATAAGCGGAAGCTCGTATGTATATATATATTGAAGATAGGCCAGAGTGCTTCCTTGATTCCATCTTTCTAGGAGAAGAGAAGGTCTTCTTGACATGAACTACAAACGTCCGGTCTTCTCTTAAAAATGCTTCAATCTAGGATATTATTCTCAGACGTATTCCTACAGTTCTGAAGGTTGAGCCAGAGTGCGCGACGTACGCTGCGTACGTGACGTACGCAGCGTACGCTCGGTAGGTTTCATCAGAGGAGCGTACGCGGCGTACGCTGTGTACGCCGCGTACGCCGCGGACTCTGGCTCAACCCTGAGCTTAATCATTAGTTTGGCATGTGGCACTTTATCGAACGCCTTAGTGAAATATATGTAGATAACGTCAATATTTTGTCCCCTATCTAGTTGCAATGTCTAATCATAAAGCGCTTGTAATATTGCTGTAATCGTCAATCTACCACGTTGAAATCCATGCTGTGCATCTGAAATTATATTGTTCTCCTCCAAATGCTTAACAATATCTTTTTTTAACATTTCTTTTGAAAGTCTTGCGAATATAGAAGTTATGCTGGCCGTACCGAAAGTTTTCTGGACTTGTCAGCGACTGTTTTTTGGGAAAGCGTGTGACAAGAGAACCTTCCATCATTCGGGAATTTCAGCCCATATCATACTCAAATTGAAAATATGTTGTAGTGGCCCAGAAAGTATGTCAGCAACTGATTCAATAAATTGCAGTCTCAAAAAGTCATATGTAAGAGATGTCGATATTGGCCAAAAGCAGGTAAATGTCTTCACTTTTGAACCAAATCTCGTCACTCATTGTTGGGAAGACTGGAGCCAATCAGCTCTCAGAGTGGTCAACGCTTTCTTCTTCGGCAAAAGTCTTTGCAAAAGTATCCGCAAAATATTCCGCTTTCTCTTTATCATCTTATGACCACGCCGTTGTCTTTACGTAAAACTCCCAGTCTGCTTCTGTTTCTGAGCCTGAGTCTGAGCAGTTGATCATTTTATAGAACGCTGATCTTTCTCCATGCTTTACCTTTTCCTCAAAAGATGCATTGTATTTTTGAGCAGTTTAGTAAATTTGGCGTTTAATCTATTAGAATTGGAACTGTCTTCAACATTGTCCGTATCAGCTGCAATCACCCAAGCTGGTTCCCTCATTTGATAAAGTCTAAAAAGATACTCAGGCATATTTGTCCGCCCCATAAGGCGCAAGGATTAGGGGACGTAGAGATCAATCGCTGGTTTATTATAGTTAGGAAAAGCTCATACATCTCATTCAGTGGTGAGGTCATGAAGGATCCATACCAGTTCATTGCATTTTTGAAATCCCTGCACCTGACATACTCACAAGGGAATGGTCAGAAGTCGAAGTGGCCAAACCAAACAAGCTGTATATCATTTGATGCAGTATAAAACGCTGACTTCGAATCTGTCTTCCTTACCTGCTTATCGCTTCTGTGGACAAAGCTACAAGCGATTTCATTGTGAAAAAATCATACATAAAAACAGCGAAATTGAGCGCATTGTTGCACTTTTAGCTCAGGTTCTGGCTTTAAAAACTTGTAGTAAGCTAACTGCATGTTTTGGCACAGCAGTAAGGCGAACGGGGCTCTGCAGGGGCTAAATTTTCAATTTCACGCATAATTTCTCAACAAAATAATGGTCTTTAAAGGCTTATAGCTTTGTCTAGAAAAGCGATAAGCAGGTAAGGAAGACAGATTCAGAGTCAGCGCTTCATGCTGCATCTAATGGTACGCAGCTTGTCTGGATTGGCCACTTCGATTTCTGACCATTCCCTTGTCAGTATCCTTTGATTCTTACTGGCTTATTCGAAATCTAAGCGAGAAATGATCGCTGTTACGGAGAGAAGCCTTATGTCACTGACCATATTATCCTTATTTGTAGGTATGAGATCTAATAGATGTTTCTTGCATGTACTTGATTTAATCTGCTGCGACAATTTGTAAAGCCTACACATTTGGATGATGTTTCTGACATATAGATGCTGGCTCTGAGGCGGAGTGGTCTTTCCAATTCACTTTAGGTAAGTTGAAGTCTCCCATAAGGACGGCAAAATTTTGACAGGCTAATCAGTAAGAGCTTTTATCAACTGTTCTGTATCAGAAGCGGGACAGGAGAGGGTTTGGTATATTAAAATAAGTCGCAAAGTGGTAAAAGCCATAATGTCACAACATAATCTCATAGCTTTCTATCACAGGCTCTTTAAACACTAAAAATGTCAACTTACCCGTCCTCCCCTCTTATCTAACCTGTCGCATCTGTGTTCAGTCGTTTTCAATACGTAATGGTCCTTTCTACCGTATGCCTTCCAGCCTCAAGATGACGTGGATTGGTGGGGCGCCGCATCGCTTCGGGCTCGCGCCACATTGCTTTTCTCTCCAAGCCACGCTAAACGAGCGTTCGTCACGTGGCGAAGGCCCGAAGCGTGCCGACGCCGCATCAATCCACGTCATCTTGAGGCTGGAAGGCGTACGGTAGAAAAGACCAATGCGTATTGAAAATGACTGTATGTCGTAATCCCGAGGCAACCTCCAAAAAGAGAACTATTGGAAATTTTTTCGTTCAACCAACTTTCTGTTACTGCTACAATAAAAATCTTTTGTTCAGTCAAAATCAAAAAAAAGCTGAAATAAACCATATTCTTGCACAAAGAACGAGCATTAGCTAGCATATATTTTGAGAAGCTACCTTTAATCTGGGGAATCACTGTCTATTTAAAGGCCCACGCCCTAGCGTACCAGGTTGCTCGTTTCCGGATAAGCCATTTTGTCCAATACAATCGGTACTTTGTGTTAGTCTTTGCTGGTTATCAAAATGCTTTGCGTTGAAACGACTGCGCCTTTCTTTGCGTAATCTGTCCCTCTCTTCTTTTGAAAGAAAGGGCCGGATGTAGATCTCATGTGCATACGGGAAGATTTTCAACTATTAGGTTGTAACAGAATCAATGCAGGTTTTGAATTCCAACCGCAATAAGTCATACACTTCTCATTTCTAAGTAGGTTGCAAAATACCATTCGATAGAGCAAAGCAATTTCTACAAGGTGGCAATCTTGCTTTAGCAACAACTCTGATCCACCACGAGTTTCGAGCCAAAAACTTAAAAGATTCAACTGTCCGAAAAATTGAGAAAAATCGTAACTCAGTTCATAAAAAACCTACAAAAATTCTAACTTGCTCACGTAAATAAAATCCACATAGGGCATCTATACACGCCGTTGCCTTATTTTTTTCTTTGTTAGAAATCAAGTAAACGGAAATTTTCGTGCGTTTGCCAAAGTGTTGCTGTGCCGTTCCCACATAAGTAGTTGTATACTACAAAGCTGTAGAAGTACAAACGTAAATTTTCAGCTTTCTACAGGCTTTAGTTCTCGAGAAATTTGAATTTCAGCTTGGACCACATAACTAGCGAAAACTGTATTCGATATTTTCCGAGAACTAAAGCTTTTGGAGAGCTGGAAACTCACATTTATACTTCTACAGGTTTTCAGTATACAACTGCTTATGTGGGAACGGCACAGCATCACTTTGGCAAACGCACGAAAATTTCCGTTTTCTTGATTTCCAACAGAGAAAAAAATACGGCAAAGGCGTGTATAGATGCCTTATGTGGATTGTATTTACGTGAGCAAGTTAGAACTTTTGTGGGTTTTTTATGAACTGAGTTACGATTTTTCTCAATTTTTTGGGTAGTTGAATCTTTTTAGTTTTTGGCTCGAAACTCGTGGTGGATTAGAGTTGTTGCTAAAGCAAGATTGCCACCTTGTAGAGATTGCTTTGCTCTATCGAATGGTATTTTGCAACCTACTTAGAAATGAGAAGCGTATGACTTATTGGGGTTGGAATTCAAAACCTGCATTAATTCTGTTACAACCTAATAGCTGCCCTCTTCAGCGCAAGGTTTACAAAAAAACGAGACGGCATGACAATTTTTAGTAGCCTATTATAGGTGAGATGAAGTTTTTCCAGTCTATACACGGAAGTGGGTATGCAATCAATAGAGAGGTGATCGAAGATCTGATTAACACAATCCCTGTCATGGTTTACTCTCAACCAACCACTAGGGCATCTATTCTCTAGAACACTTGCGTGATCGTCTCCATGCTTATCACTAAAGCACGGAAACGATCACTTTCTTCACACGTACAACCAGAATTCGAAGTCGAATTTTGATGGAGAAGTAGATGTAGGACACTGTAGAGGGCAAAGGTTGCGGCTAAGATTGCTCAATACAAGATCTAAGGCATTCGTTATCCTTCAATGTATCGATTTCCTCAGCCATTATTTCAAGTTAAAAAGTAACTCACGAAGTACTCTGCGTTGATACCACTGCTTTATATATTATATTATATATTATATATTATATATTATATATTATATATTATATATTATATATTATATATTATATATTATATATTATATATTATATATTATATATTATATATTATATATTATAATATTATAATATATAATATATATATTATATATTATATATTATATATTATATATTATATATTATATATTATATATTATATATTATATATTATATATTATATATTATATATTATATATTATATATTATATATTATATATTATATATTATATATTATATATTATATATTATATATTATATATTATATATTATATATTATATATTATATATTATATATTATATATTATATATTATATATTATATATTATATATTATATATTATATATTATATATTATATATTATATATTATATATTATACAGTGACCGCCAAAAAGTTGCGGACAAGCCGCCTTCCTTTTTTCATCGCTCATTTTCGGATGAAAAACAAAGACGAAAAAATGTTTGGATTGCATGAGGTGATAGAGCTCTTCAAGAGCTGCAACCCACACATTGTGCTTTCTGGAAAACATGCATTTTAGAAATTTTAAAAAAATTTTTCTAAGAAGAGTCCGAAAATGGCCGCGTCACAATGTCGCGGACAATAATTCTTCGAACGCGAAAATTTCCTTTTAGGTCCTATTTTCAAGTGGAAACACAAGTAATCCGAATAGCTAAGCATACTACATTATAGAGCTCATCGAGGACAATAATCCGGTAGTGGTTATTTCCAAAAAAAAACCCAAACTTGAATTTCATTTTGCTTTTTTTCAAAAAATAACTTCTAATTTCCTTTTTCAAGCCAAATTTCTTCACATGTAAACCTATTCAAGGCATCCTAACAAAGGTGTTAGACTAAAATGGATGCTTTTTGCCATCCTGTATGCATCGGACTTGTGTTGGTGAGTTTCTTTGCTAAAAATGGCTCTTGATAGTGCGTGCACATAACCCCATCTGCACCTCACCACTGAATTGCACCGCTTTGCAGGCTTGTAGCTCGGCCGGCAGTCATTCTACGAGCTTGCACGTAGGCACATTCGAAAGAGCGTGACTTTCCCTACACGATGGTATGCAAATGAGTTCAGTTTCAGGAATAACAGCGGTTTGGCGAATGGGGTGACAGAGCGCAACCTTAGAGGTGATTGGAGTGAAGGCTCTTATCAGCGCCAGAACAGTCTTAGAGCTCCGAAATGGGTCTATTACAAGAAAATTAACAGTTTTGAAATTCCAGGATAGAACTGGTGGCGAAAGGAGCTTTGCTCAATTTCACCTGAAAAATCCTCAGCCTACAACTGAAGCTGCGTTTTATCACCCCATCCGCAGATTTTTCGGGACTTACCAAACCCACCTCATTTGCATACCATCGTGTCGAGAAACTCACGCTCTTTCGAATGAACTTATATGCAGGCTCGTAGATTGACTGTCGGCCGAGCTACAACCCTGCAAAGCGGTGCAATTCAGTGGTGAGGTGCAGGTGGGCTTATGCAACGCACTGTCAAGAGCCATTTTCAGCAAAAAAACACAAAAGCACAAGTCCGATGCATACAGGATGGCAAAAAGCATCCATTTTAGTCGAACAGCTTTGTTAGGATGTCTTGAATAGGTTTACTGTGAGGAAATTTGGCTTGAAAAAGGGAATTAGAAGTTATTTTTTGAAAAAAAGCAAAATAAAATTCAAGTTTGGGTTTTTTGGAAATAACCACTACCTGATTATTGTCCTCGATGAGCTCTATAATGTAGTATGCTTAGCTATTCGAATTACTTGTGTTTCCACTTGAAAATAGGATCCAATAGGAAATTTTCGCGTTCGAAGAATTATTGTCCGCGGCATTGTGACGCGGCCATTTTCGGACTCTTCTTAAAAAAAGATTTTTAAAGTTTTTAAAATGCATGTTTTCCAGAAAGCACAATGTGTGGGTTGTAGCTCTTGAAGAGCTCTATCACCTCATGCAATCCAAACATTTTTTCGTCTTTGTTTTCCATCCGAAAATGAGCGATGAAAAAAGGAAGGCGGCTTGTCCGCAATTTTTTGGCGGTCACTGTATCTTATATATAAAGCTGAATGTCTGTTTGTCTGTCTGTATGTCTGTCTGTATGTCTGTCTGTGTGTACGTATGTTCCGAATAGAAAATTCCATTTCTGAACCGATCCGGACCAAACTTGGCACACATACACTTCGGGCCCCGGCGGGTGTCATAGGCTACCTTTCGTCATCGATCGATATCGTTTTTTTGCAAAATTTGAGCTACGGGGCTGGGAGTTGGCACAGGGGGGTAATCGAGCATGCAGATCACCCCGTGGGGGTGATCAGCATGCTCAATTACACCCCTCTGCCAAACCCCCAACCCCCTAGCTCAAATTTTGCAAGAAATCGATAAAATCAACATCGATCGATAACGAAAAGTGGACTGTGACACCCGCCGGGGCCCGAAGTGTATGTGTGCCAAGTTTGGTTCGGATCGGTTAAGAAACGGAATTTTCTATTCGGAACATACGGCGGAGCCGGGTAAGCCAGCTAGTATTATATATTATACAGTGTCCGTAAAGTATGTATACACTGTTTGATCATTAATATCTATTTTTCCAAGAAGTCTTTTGCCTTGCTTCAGGTACCATTTTGTAGAGCTGGCTTCAACTTAGATTTGCAGTATAGAACGAATCACCCATCTCTCTTCATTACTGTAGGATTACGGTAGAAACTTGAAACATATGGTGTCAATGTGGAAAAAGCTGCCATTTCAAAATTTTTCAAAAAAATGTGAAAACTAGTGTAATAGGGTTTTTATAGACGCTGAGTTCAATACTCAACTATACACAAGATTGCGAAGCTTTCTAAACGGTGCAACCGCACTTTTTAGGAACATTGAAAAAATGGCCGCTACCTCTTACCTGGCATAACTCTTCAATGAAGCATCACAATAAGTTGGGAACCTTACAAATAGAATCAGCAACTCTAATTAGACTAACAGTCTTACTCTAACTCTCAACTCTAATTATTTAAAAGTTTTCAGGTTGTTTTGTCTCCTTTCTGAGGCAAAATATGGCCTTTCATGACCCAAAACCCTCTTTCAACTTTCTACCGTAATCCTAGAGTAAAGGAGAAAGATGGACGATTCGCTCTATACTGTAAATCTAAGTTGAAGCCAGCTCTACAAAATGGTACCTGAAGGAAGGCAAAAGACTTCGTGGGAAAAGAGATATTAACGATCAAACAGTGTATACATACTTTACGGACACCCTGTATATTATATTAGGTTGTCCCGAAAGTTTTGTCGGTTTCTTTCACCGATCACTGAAACTCGCAGAACACCAATCCATGGGCAAGCTAGGTACCATTTGATTCAGATTTTTATCCTCTTTCAGACAGCTATATTTTCTTTCTGATCTATCCTGTCTTTGCAATGTTGTCGCCATGGCTTTTTGAGCAGCTCAGCGGTAACGCCAAATCTTTCCTGAATTTTGAAATTTTTTATACTGACGCTTTTGAAGGGCGCTGGTAACTGTTATATAGAGCAAACCTTTGGCTACATTTTGTTCATTTTACATTACATGAGCTACTCAGACAATTGGAAAGTCTCAGCGGGCAGCCACAAAGCCGCCACCAATCCCCACCAAAAGCCCCCGCGCCTTATCGCTGCCACTGTGGATGCCCGCTGAATGCCATGTGGCTTCCACATCACTGCCGCTTCATAGCGGCCCGCTGACTGCCAGTTAAAGCAGCCCGCTCAATGCCATCTAAAGGATCCCGCCCACTGCCGCTTATAATAGCCCGCTCAATGCCATTTAAAGGTGCCCACCCACTGCCGCTTATATTAGCCCGCTCAGTGCCGCTTACCGCACTCTCTCCTTTTCGGGATCAACTACTCCTTCTGTACTTGCACTATAAACAAGCTGGGCATCATCTTTTATTAATCAATTGGCCGAAACAACACGATACTTCCAGTTTAGTATAATGCAATAAGGCACATAACAATAACTCAACGAGGAACAGATACAGAGGAAAGAAATCAACTCAAAAGATCATTTAGAGTGTCTTGATACACGTACACGTAACGATACCTCAACAGCGAACAAGATAAAGATGAACGAAATGAGCTTACATTAATTGCCAACCTATACTGCAACATAAGAGGTAACAGCAAATCAACGAACAAGATGCAGATAAACGAGATAAAGTCAAAATGAACGATCAAGGCATTGAGGAGAAATGAAGATGTCCATGCGGGAAGTGGTTAGAGGTGTTCTGCTCCAAACAAAATAATCAGGACTAACCATTTGACGGTTTTTTAATGCATACCTTAATCGATTCGACAGCTTACTCAAGCGACAATGCGAGGTATGCCTGGTTTTGGTTCTGCAGTTCTCTGAGTTCCATCACTGGGTTAGTTTCTGGTGCTGTTCTTCTTCTTTTCTGGAAATAAATTGAGTTGCTTTTTGCAGGATTATAAGAGATCAAGAATTTTTCGAGAATTACTCACCGCGTGTGACAGCCACTGTTTTTTTTCCATGTCGTATTCGTAAGATCTGATATCCCTCCTGCATAATATTACTGATTTTTACTTCAACCAAACCTTAGAATATAAAACTCACAAGGCAAGCTGCATCCCTTTTAGTATTTCCGATTTGTATAAATCAAAATCGGCTAACAACTCGTCTAATTTCTTCTGGCGGTCCTTTTCGTTTTCGCCAAGCTCGATGTAGAAGCTAGAAATTTGTGTTTTGATCCTGATAACCATTCTTTCAAAAAAGCTACCGTGTCCTTTCATTTGCCGCTCTTTTTCCAAGCCTCAACTGGGGATCGCCTAACCCGATCAAATCCAAAGCAAAATCTGAAATCGGAGTCAGTGCGATGCTAATGTCTGCACAGTACTTGGTATAAACATCCCCACCCTGGAGTGTCACTTCCACTGCGGCCGGTAAATTTTGCAGGTGCTTTTCCCTCCCAGCCTTACGATGATACCTTATAGCGTAATTTTGGATCAGCTGAGGAGGCTCCGTCAGCTGAAAGTTGTCCAATGATTAGACGTACTGCGCGCGTAGGGAGAAGTAAACCTGCTGGAAGATAAAGCGAAATACGCGTGCGAAGTTTTGATAGCATGGCTCAGTGTCGTTGAAGCTAAAGCGCACCAGCAGTTCAGGAATTTCGACCTAAACCTCTCATTTGCGCGAGTAGTGTATAACACCAGTGACACTTACGCCTTTGAATGGTGCTGCTTCGTCTAATTTCAAAGGCCTTGTCAGATTATTTAGGGACAAGACACGTGTTTGTCCGTGTGTATCCTTTGCTTTCCGTGGCTGTGATTCGAATGAACGCGCTAGCCGATCGTACTTCGCGATTTATATCTCGCTCTGATAAAATTGTGGATAATCGCAATTTTTCTCACTCGTTATCTTATTCTATTTCCTGCTTACAACCCAACGTCTAAGCAATGGGAGAAACGAAGAAAGAGAAAAGTGGTCATTACAAGCATGGAAACCTTTGATGAAATCATTAGGTCTGCGTCAACTAAGCATATGAGAGCTCAGAAATGAGGGGGCAAGGGTTCAGCATTTCAGAGGTTGGCAAACTCGTAAAATTTGTTTTCCAACAACTTCCTACTTGCTTGAAAGTCTACAGTGGCTTCATTTCATATGATCATGTGTGTCATTGCACACACATTCCACGTTTGGCGTCCTCATCCTGAATTTGCAACAGCAAAAACGCGAGAGAGTTAACGATTGTTTTCGATTACATCAATTTAAGATGATTCGTAGCTAAGAAGGAACGGAAACATTAAGAACACATTGAAAACTGTTGCCTAAAAATTTCTTTCCTCCAAGAATCCGACATGTGAACGCCAAACGTGGAATGTGTGTGCAGTGACATACATGATCATATGAATTGTCGACTTTGACTTCACTTACAGCGGTCATGCAACTCAATATGTGCATCTGCACAAGACGCACCGCACCACACGACTCACAAGTCAGTAGTTAGTAACATCAGAAATCAGTTCAGAGTTCAGCGCGAGCAATGGAGAGTGAAAAACGTGACGAAATTGCCCCCTCACTCTAGTTTTGAAGTGATAGATAGCTTGCCAATGCATTTCTCTTCTTTGCTCCAAAAAAGAGAGTGTAAGTTTAAAGAGACAGTTTGAGTCGGAAAATGAGTGCAAAAGCTTTGAGAAAAAAATGTGAATCAGCACTTACCTGCAGCTGGTGATCCTTCATGGAACTTTTCTTGATTTTGAGGTGCTTCTACTCGCATCACGTCACCTCGTTTATCCAAACTAAATTCTTCCCTGTCTGCACTGTCGCGTAAGCGTGAGATGGTCCGTAGCTTCGCATGTTCGTGTTCCACCTTGGCATGAAACATTTCTAAAGATGATTGGTGATAAGCTGCAAATACTTATAAGCATCGATCTCACTTCTACATTTTCTTGCTCCGGTGTCTTCGTATCGGGGACGTCTTTTGAGAGCCATAGAAACATGCCCAGAAGTTACTTGCAAAATGTCGACACCAGTTTGAAATTAGCGATTGGGAAAGAAAGCGTCGATCGCTTCTGAAATGATATCGTGTGGATGATGACATCAAAAGGTTACTGAGTACAAAGCAAAGGTCGACGAGCATGTGAAAGCAATTAGTGGAATTGGTAAGACAAGTCATCATGGTAGGCGCCGACTAAGCGAGTATCTTATTCAACTTGGGGTCCCGCGCAGAATTACCGTCATTTGGCGACACGCTGGCGGGAAATCAAAGCGGAGTCTCCCGCAATGATATATTTTCCATATACTGCGATGATGAGGAGTAGAGAAGAGAGAAAGAGTGAGTAAGAGAGACAGAGAGACAGAGACAGAGAGATAGAGGGAGGTCTACACTCTAATATTTCGACAGTTGCAACAGTCTCGCGTAACTGCTTTTACCTTACCGTGTTTGATTCGCTCAAATAGTCGGTACGAGCTATATAACACAAAAGCTCAGAAGCCCAAAAGCGCCCGAAAAAACCCAAAAGCGGCCAAAAAAGCCCAAAAGCGCCCAAAGAAGCCGTAACGCCCCCTTTTGCGCGCAAGTTTTGGGGGTAGGGAATGTGTATTGATCTAGCAATCGAGTCATTTTGCTTCATTTACTATCGTCCGCATATCAGAATAATGTCGGAATTCTACCAAAAGTGATGATTATGAAGCAAGAGCAAGGACGCACGACCATCTTTTCAATGAGTCATCGTACAGCTGATGGTGCTATCGCGCTTCCGTATCTTAAGGGCCGAGCATACTCTACGCGATTTCAGTCACGACGCGATTTGGCAATTCGCCAGAACTCTTCAGATGCAACACTAGCAAATTGCACATGCATGGTGTGTATGATATAAGTGGGTTGATAAAATACGCTATCTTTTGTACATTCAAATTGTGCCTACAATGAGTTACGGACAGCTAAAATATTGCCAAACCGCGTCGCGAATGAAATCGCGTGAAGTATGCCCGGCCCCTTATGCAACAACCATTAAAAGCAAACGAAAGTTATGGTAACTCACAAAAACACGAACTAAGCTTCAATCTTCAATGTCTTCAAAGTTCAAACAATTCAAACTGGAGAAAGCACGGCACCCACTGTCATGGAGACGACATATACAGAGAAGAAGCTAACAAAAGAAATTCTCTCCAAACTACACACCACGATCTCATCATAAGAGAATAGTGGTGCCATATTTGCTAAGCGATATTCTGAATGCAATAGAGAGAGAAAATCTGTGGGAATGAGATACATATAAGGATGAGATTAAGACGATAAGCTCGGATACTGACGGACGCACAGGAAGAATCAATGACTAATGACGCCGTGCTCTTTCTTGCAAAAGACACGTATCTACATGTGCACAGATGAGCACTGCACAAATCAATCGATATCAGCCAGATACATGTTATCGGTGCCCGCTCATAGCATCTTCGCGACCCGCTCACAAAAACCTTGCTTTCGCAACCCCATCGCTTCCTGGTCGTTGCCAACTAGCTGTTATCGCTGCCTTGTCGTCGCATTCTGGGTGCTTTTGCAGCAATAACGCGCTCTGTAGTTATTTTCTGACTCACGCAAGATTATGGCAGCCCGCTGATAGCCTGTCGCTGCCCGCTCGCTACTTTTTCAGAGTTATCGCCGCCCGCCCACTGAAACTGCCTGCTATCGCTGCCCGCTGAGAGTTTCCAATTGTCTGAGTAAGTTTACCAAGTTCGTTATAATTAATTATTTGATAAAAACCGCGACTTTTTGATTACGTTTACCACCTAAAAGTGCCGAAAATTCCAAAAAGCTGTTTTCCAAGGCAAATCAAACTTGGTTATGTTGCATAAATAATGTTTAATAAGAATTTTTCAATTCGCAGAAACTTCGAAAACTTTCGTGTATTTGCTGCAGTTGCGTTTTCATGACTTTGCCAAATTCGAGATCTCTTAAGAAATAATTTTTTTCAGGCTAAAAATAGCAGATTAGGAGAACCTAAAAATATAACCTTGTAGTCCGAGAAATGCCCTGTTAGAATCATACTTAACCATTTCAGAATTTTCAAAATGAAGTTCGTAAAAATTAGACAAACTTTGAGCAGATAAAATTGGCGGATGGAGAATTTTAACAAATGTCGAAAAAAGCATGCAAGATTGTGGCTTGAGAATGTATCCATAAGAAAGCGAAGAAAAGGTTGCATCGAATGCATCTTGAATCTCATCCAGGTGTTTATTGTGCGTGGTTTTATAGTGGTTTGAAAAAACCGACAAAACTTTCGGGACAACCTAATATATTATATAGAGTGTCCCAAAAAGATGTGCACACAAGATGGTATCGCAAACCTAGTTGCAAAAATATCTTAGTGCACTACACTTCGGCGCATCCGCGCTGGGTTAAGAATTCTGTTATAAAAAACATGTACAAAACAGCATCGCAAGTCTCATCTGGACCCCAGGAACGCAACCACTCTTTGGAAATGGCGAACAGTGTAGCAAGTAGTAATGGGTACCTTCTACAAAACTTCCACAAATCCCGACGTTCTCCTGCTAGACGGACAAGTTTCGAGGATCAAAAGATTTCGTTCTGCCTACCCTTTATTTCAGATAGAATAAGTCGGGAGGTTCGCAAAAGCTTAGTTCAAGCAGGATTGCAAGATATGGTAAGGGTGGTAGAAATACCTCCAGCAAATCTCAAGCAGCAATTAGTACGCAATCGCTCTAATGATCGTCTTTGCATGACTAATGCTTGCCCAATTTGTCCGTATGGTAAACAGGGAGATTGTATGGTATCCGGCGTTGTCTACCAAATAGTATGTAATGCTAGCGGGGCAACTTACATAGGAGAAACAGGAGGTCCACTAATTTCTCGCGTTAAAGAACATCTGGATGGTCTACAAAAGTCCAAAATCTCCACCCCACTAGGGGCTCATCGTATAGAATGTCATCAAAACACCACCATAGAAGTTGCCGCATCAATTTTAGTGCAAGAATCTGAAATTCTAGCGCGTAAAACCCTTGAAGCTTTCTACATTTCCGTCCGTTCTCCCCAAATGAATAGAAAGGATGATAGTATAGCCATGATAAGTGATCTTACAGCTTATCAGCGTCTTGGGGACTATAAAAAGACAACGGAGGAGGGTCACGTCAGTTTATTCGGTTCCGCTATCTCAGGATAGTGGACAGTGGCGACCGCCGTGAGTCTTTAATTGTCGCGGCTTTACTTTCCTTAGGCCCCGGGCAGACTTCACGCGATTTGATCGTCGCGACTGAATCGCGAGGAGACAACTGTTACAACATCATTCCATGCAGATCAACTTGCATTCGGTTGTGATACTTTTCCAGACCGAAATTTTTGAATGTGAAATGAAAATGAATGGAAATCTTGGCGATTTGGTCGCGACGATTAAGTCGCGTGAAGTCTGACCGGGGCCTTACAGCGCTCTGAAGAAGGCGATACATCGCCGAAACGCGTCAGCGCCATTTTATCAAGTTCTATACCACCTTGGTAAGCTTAAAGAATTCAAAAACTAATCGCATATCATAATGCCAAGGTTAATTAACAGTCGGATTTTGTTCGATGTGCACACTGTTTGATCGTTTTAACTCTCTTGCTTTCATGTCTTTTGCCGAGCTTGAGGTACCATTCTGTAGAGCGAGGATAAACTTAGATTTACAGTATGGAGCGAATCACCAATCACTCTTCATTACTGTAGGATCACGGTATGAACTTTTAGCATACACTTCACTGAGGAATAAGCCTTTTGATGAAATAATTTTGAAAAAAATCCAAAAATTTGTGTAGCAAGGTTTTCAGGCGTGCTGATTTCACTACATAACTTTCCACCAGTTTTTCGAGCTTTTTGATGGCGTATTCACTTTTCTGACGAACACTGGAAAATTAGTTGTTGCCCTAAATCTGAAATAATTCATGAAAGAAATAATATACTGAAGTGCAACTTTCATATTTAGAATCAGCGACTTCGATTAACCCAGTTCAAGAGTTCCTGGCTTGTTTGGCTTTATTTCTGAGGCAAAATACCGCTTCCAATGGCTTAAAATCCTCCTCGAAATTCCTACCGCAATCCTACAGTAACGAAGGTCTGCTGATAGATCGCTCCATACTGTAAATCTAAGTTGAATCTCGCTCTAAAGAATGGTACCTCATATTCGGTAAAAGACATGAATACAAGAGAGTTTTTAACAATCAAACAGTGTGCACATCTTTTTGGGACACCCTGTATATTATATATTATATATTATATATTATATATTATATATTATATATATAATATATAATATATGATAATATAATATATTATATATTATATTTTATATAATTGCCGATCTTCTTGCATTTCGGTTGTGGTAGTTTTCCAACACGACTAGTCGTGATTAACTATCACAATCGAAATACTAGAAAACCAACTTGCAATGAACTCGTAACACTTGTCTTGTAGTGATGATAAAATCGCGTGAACTCTGATTGAGGCCTTACGAAATGATATGGAATAATATCCAATGGTATACAAACGACTTCTTGGAAGAAAAAATTAAACGGTAAAACAGTGAGTATACATTCGGGGCCCTATAAAGAGATTGTGGTTAAACTTAGGCTTGCTAACTCTATAAATGGTGCCTAAAAGAATGCAGCACTCTCACATTTTCGCTTTTCTGCCTGGAATTCGTTTAAAACTAAAACGAAATTGAATTAATAAATATGTTTTTTGATATTTTTGAATGCTTCTGCGCCAAACAGGTTCCTTAGGCGTTCCTTATTCTTCCCAATCACGGCCTTACGTCTTTTGTCTTCTTCAGAGGGCCGAAAAAGCTCAAGGTACTTGTGAAGCGAAACTGTCAAGCACCATCTCCATTCCTGCTACTTTTAAACCTTTATTCAACTTTTCTTTCGCAACAATTGCCACGCCAGAAGATGAATACACCCTACATATATCTGCATGGCTGATGTGCTATCGAGGAAGGATACGATGGGAGTCAGAAGCTTAGCCTCCCAGGATGTCACGCTATCAACATGCGAATTGTAATAACCACGATAATGGTGATAACATTAGTGCGGCTTTTCGAAGGTGCATTCTACGTGCGCAACTGTAGAACGATATCGGGACATCTCAAGCAAGAGTATCAAGATGTAGTTAGTCCGAAACAGTCTTTACGTTCGATGCTGCATAACAATCGATGCGTAGTCTGTTC